AGGGAGCAGGCCGACGCCAGAACAACAACGGGTCGGTGGGAAGTCAATTGCGGGATCTTGCGAAACAAATACACCGTATACGTTTGAAGACTGGTTGCCTATGTTTCACTGTACTGCGAGGGTGTTTAGCTTGATCAGCGGAAGGTGCATTCCTGACATTCCATATGCCGAGAAGCATCATGCAAAGGTACGGAGCTCTTCGTGGCGCTTGGCTCTGCCCGACCGAATCTTCGCGTCCATGCCAGAACCACTGGGCACCTAGCCCTACGGCGCCCCTCATCAAACACACCCCTGCCTGCCAAGCTCGTCCGTCATATGCTACTAGTACAAGGCTAGGGGTTGACTGTATGGTCATACACCTGGAGCCCTAAACCCAACCCTAAACCCTAAACCGTAAACCCTAAACCGTATAAACCCTAAACCCTAAACCTAAACCCAAAACCCAAACCCTAAGCCCCAACCCCTGAAGCACAGCTGCGAAGCCCCGCCTGTACTGCGCCAAAAACATCCACCCTCTGTGGCCGCATGGCATCGTGGTCGCTGCCTCAGTAACTTGGAGGGTTTAGGGCTTAGGGTTCAGGATGCTAAGATTCGGAGTGTAACATAGGGGCCTGATGAATCGGAACGGGATGTCGGGATATATTAGACAATCTATTGCTAATCCCTAAACCCTAAACCCTAAACCCTAATTGCTCAGGCTTCTATAGTGGGGCATAAGATCTTTCCACGGCTCAGGGGCCCACACCCTGTGTTGCAGGGAAGCATCATAACGGGTGCCACCGGGCTTTAGGGTCTAAGTGGTATAAGTAGGGTTTAGGGTTTAGGGTTTAGGGTTTAGGGTTTAGGGTTTATGGTTTAGGTTTCAGGGTTTTGGGTTACCGGCTTTATGGTTAGGGGCAGTCTGGGGAGAAGAACTGCTTGCGGCTTGGGTGTACCTGCAGCACCATGGCATTCTCCCAAAGGGTCCAAGTGCCACTATAGTAGGTACTTAGTAGGTATTTGGGCGCCAAAAGTATATACCCCTAAGGGTCCAAGTACCCAAATAGTAGGGTTTCAAGGCCCAAAAACCATTCAGAGTATGGATTTTGGGACCTAAAACCTTACTATTTGGGTACTCGGACCCTCTGGGTACTATACTAGTACTTGGGTTTTTTGGGTCTCCAAACGGGAGCTGTTGCAGCTGAGGGCCCAACCCACGCCCAACTGTCCGTCGGAGTTTCGTCCAAAGCCCCAGACGTCACCGTCAGACGTCACGAGAAGACTGCGCAGCGTGGGCAGATGGCTGAGTAAGGTGGGTGTATAGGGTTGATATCAGCGACTGAAAAGGTAGAATAAGGGGTGCTGGGGTACGTGATATCAAGATGCAAATAGTTACTAACTATTCCGACCCCGTTTTGGGGGGTGGAGGTGATGGCTCCGTCAGAAGTGTCGTAGGGCTTGGAGGCCGAATGTGGGAGCAACTGCTTCTCAGACCAGCTATCGCAGGGTTTAGGGCTGAGGGTCTGGCTAGGGGCCTTAATACTGTGTGTATATATATATATGGCTATATTCATATTATATGCGTAGTTCTCCAAATTAGGGCGTTTAGGTCCCCAATATAGTACGGCACCCTTATACAACGGATCCTAAGAAGGGACCCTAATTCAGAGAGCTACCCATCAAGTTTTAATGGGGAGCCCCCATGGAAGAGTACTGGATAACTTTTAGGGGGTTTCGGGTTTAAGCTTCGTTTTTTGTAAAACAGACCATGCAACCTTCAACCTAATCGCTCAAACCCTCGACCCTACAACCCAAAACCTAAAGTCCACCCTGACAAACTTTCCATGAACAGAACAAGTGAAACCCTCCCCCTCATGCCGCATCCCTGAAACCGATCTTTGCTCCAATGCCCGATCGAGGTCACTAGTGGTGAAACGTCGAATCTGCCCTGGGGGGTTCGTTGCGACCGAAACTAAGCCAACTAGTGTAGGGCCCCAAATAATCAGATTCGGGCTTTGGGGTATATTACACTATTCTTATAATAAGGTACCCTCCTCAACTTAGTATAGGCAATTATTCAGACCCCTATTTTAACGTGCCACGGCTGAAGGTCATGATTGAAGGCTTGAGCTCTCTTGAAGTTATCGGATTGCGAATAAGTTTCAAGTGTGGGTCCTGTGCATCTTGGTGCTGAAATCTTCTTATCTTTCGAAACTTTCGTTCTCCTTGAAACTATCGCCACTGCCGGGGTATTCTTGTTCCAACACATACTCTGAACCCTCCCAATATAGGGGCCTTAATAATTGGAACAGGGCTTGGTGGTATATGATTATAAGAATAATGAGCAGCCCCAAGACCCTGTTTTACTTGTTAAGGCCCATATATTACTTCCCTGCCAATCGGAACAACCCACCGCTTGGACCCCCCCCAGGGTGCGACAGAAACTTCGGGCGACCTTGTTGACAAGCGGCCCACTAGTATCGAAGCCTAAATCATTGCCAATATGTTTGGCAAGGTTTTTTTTATTAAAAATATAAACCCTCTCTAATTAGTAAGGCCCTACATTAGACCCTGGAGCCCTACACCCCACAGGTTGGAAGCTTTCGCACGACAGTCGAAGGCATAGGAGTTCAGACTTGGGGATCTCATGCTGCGGCTTTAGGCTTTGAGGGTTTAGGCTTACCCCTAGGCCCCATAGTAGTTCCTTTTTGGGGGTACCTTAAAGGATTCTATGTATGAACCCCAAAAAGGAACTACTTTAGGGCCTATGGGTAGGGTTCAGGGGAGCTAACGTCAGAGAACCTACCTGGGCCCTAAGAAACCTACATGTTGGGGATCCTCCTCGTGATTTCCGTATGCAAGCCCTTCAAGAGGGTAGGTTCTGTTCGGGCCAGGTAAACCCCAAACCGCAAACCCAAGAGTTTGAAGAGTTGGGGCTTCTTGCTAACTAAGCTGCCCAACAACCATGGGGGAGCTAGAGGTTCACCTTTGGGACCAAAAACAAGGGGGTTGTAATGCCCCCAAAATGGTGATACTTGCTCTACCCTAAACCCTAAACCCTCAACCCTAAACCCTACTACTAAGCTTACTTTGTGTGGTTTCGGTTCGGGAAGCTACGGAGCAGATTCCAGGACCGAGGAATGCCATGGCTCACTTGTCCTGTATGCCTAGGGAACTACTAGGGATTACTACTGTTGATGATATACATCCTGCATTACCTTAAGGACTCTAAACTATGGGAATTATAGTATGTTCCTCATTATGGGTGACGCCGGGTTCATATCATCAACCGTAGGGATCTAGAAGCCCAAACGGGTTGAAGGTCACCTACTCTACTACTAAGATTGTTCATTTACGGCCAAACTTCTATGACGACAGCAACCGTGATGACAGCGCGTTCCTTTACTCGTTCGTGTGAGGCTCACAATAACTGAGGAGCTGGGTATCCTAGCCCCCAAAAACGTGAACCCTTTAACCATTGCAGGAAATTATGTCCCCCAAAAAGGGTTATCTAGCCAGCCCCAAAGATAGGGGTTCCGATAAAATTTAAGCGTGAGTACGAGCGTTTAGTTTAGAGCTTAGGGTTCTGCTATTACTGAAAGCACTTTTGGCTTGGGCTTTGGAGTGAAGGCTTTGGGAGGTTCAGGGCGCTGAAGTTCGCTGAAGTTCAGGTGCTTATTGGAAGAAGGAAGGGACGCATTCATGTTCTTCTGTAGGACAACCTGGAGTGGGCTGCCGCGCCAGCCTGTAATGTGTGGAGTGGCAGGCCGAAGCAAAATAAACACGTAGGTCCGGACCCTAAACCCTGAACCAGTGATGCAATTTCATGCTATAGCCCTGAACATGCGAGGGCACCACAGCAAGTCGACAGAAGCGCCAGCCTAACGTGGAACCGAGCGGTACGGGAGAAACATGACACCCACAGAACTGAGCCGCGCGCTAAAATAACACCGAAACTTTCAACAGCTCCACCCCGGGGATCCAAAAAGTCCCGTTTTAAGGGTTCTACCCACTAATTAAGGCAATTAAGGGGTCATAGCTCATAACCTACTATTTTGCAGGGTTTGGGGTCACAGGAAACACGTTTTCTCAGAAGCCGAAAAGCTACCAAAGACTGGAAACCCAACAACTCAACAGCAAAAACTAAAGCAGAGGGAGTGAAGACAACGAACCTGTAGCTCCACCATGCCTTAAGCCTGATAATCATCTGCCTGCCACTCCAGAGTGAGACGTGAGACGCCGGGCAGGTGAATCTGGTACTACATCCAGTCTTCACGTAGATCGAAACCCTCAACCCTTGAACCAAACCTTAAGTAAGCTTCCTGAACCTTTAAAACTTTAAAACTTACGCCCAAAATTCTGCCTGAATCCTCTAATTTTAACACAAAGCGATGCCCTTTTCGAAGTCTCGTGGCAGCAAGGGCCCGCTTGGCGGAAACCTTGCTGGCAGTCCCTGTTCTCGTGCATCCACGACTACCTGGCGACGATCTTCCTTCTCGGGGTTTCGGGTTTAGGGTTTAGGATTTAAAAGGGTTTAGGGTTTAGGATTTAAAAAGGGTTTCGGGCTTATAGGGCTTATCAGGATTACGGTAGCGGGGTTTTCGCTTCCAAGAGGGTCCCATCTTACCCAAAGCATAAGAGTAGTTCCAACTATAGAGACAGAGACTCTACTTGTCTACAATGCAGTCAGTTATGTAACGTCATGTGGGATTTCGACTCAACTCTAGCCATAGAGTCGAGCCTGCCGTCTTGAACGTACGGGTCAGCCCCTACCCAGAGTTCTCAAACGACATGGGATACCATGTTGCAGAGATTTTGGACGAGAGCTTAAGTCCTAAACCCTACAGCAAACAAAGATTAACAAACATAGTAGCAGCAACACCCGCGCAACTTTCGCCCACATTGGGAGCTAAACCGAGCCTACGTACCTGCAAAATCACCCGTAAAGTTAAAACAACGGAGCCCGCACATGGAGTTGTCGAGCCTCATGCTGTCGCCACGATCTCGATTCAGCTTGGTGCTCACTGCACCAAAGAATTCGAGTTGCAAGCCTGGCAAAAGGAGACTATCTGAAGGCTCATGCGTATCTAAACCCTAAACCTTGGGGCTTAGATATCAGGTGTCGGCTTTACTTAATTGGGAGCTTACAAATCACACAGCGTGTGACACTTCGGATGAAGTTCGGAAGCTTCGGATGGTTTTGCATTTTTGTTCGAAGCCTTGCCGAGGTTTTGCAGATCTCTACGAGGGAGCTCCTCAGCAAAGTAGTTTAGGGCTTTGGGCTTGGATGTCCTACATATCTGGAAGAGTCAGGGGCTTTTTGACCGGATCAGGCTTTCAGGAGGGTTTGGGGTTTAGGGTTTAGGGTTTATGAATTCCTACTAGCTGCAGCCTCACGGCCCTAAGCCCCCAACCACCCCCAAAAATTCCTTAGCAAAAGCCTAAACCCTGAAACCCATACACCGCAAACCCTGAGCAACAAAACCCGACAAAAAACAAACCCAGTCCTGAACCCGAAGTCCATACGGGTGGTTGTCAAAATTATGGTCCCTTTTTGGGTCCTTATTATAATACGGCACCTATTATTTAGGGTACCCCCAAAAGGGACCATAATTTTGACAGCTACCTATACGTTACACCCTACACGCCAAACTTGCAGCACTACATCCCCGACCCTATCCCCCAAGTCGTAGCAACAGCTACCAACCAACCCTAAACCCTAAACCCTACCCTAAACCCTAAACCCTAAACCCTAAAGCCAAGTCGTAGCAACAGCTACCAACCATCCCAAGGCGTGGCGTAGGCGTTTGGTCTTGAAGATTTAGGACTTCGAGCTTTGAGCTTGGGATGCACAGCCTTTTTAGGGTTTAGGGTTTAGGGCTTATAGGGTTTAGTGTTTAGGGTTTAGGGTTTAGGGTTTAGGGACAGTGTGCGCGCGGTGGGTGCGCCTTTTACTTTAGGAATAGGGGCGCACCCACTAAT